CCATAACACTCCTTAGCTCCCTGAGTTGTGGGACGGGTCTGTGTGAGGGCAGCTTGGGTTCTTCCCATGAGCAGTTCAGACCTGCTTTTCTCCTGCAGATGGCGGGGAGTCTGCTGGGGACGTGGTGTGTCCGTGCACTTAAGCCAGGCAGGATGTAGGCGAACTGAAAGCACGTGGGGGTCGGCACAGTGGGACCATCTTATGGCCCCTCGACCTTCTGTTCCCACTGCTGACCTGCCTGTGCCCATCTCCACAGAGTGGTCATTCAGCTCTGGATCCCAGGTCCTGGCCACATGTGAAAGGCTGGCTGAACCAGCGACTCTACAAGTGAGCGAGGGGGGAGTGTTTGCTTCACTGCCTGGGGGGAACCTTCCCGCCGCCGAGTGGCAACGCTGGGAAGTCACACATAGAAACTGGAAAGCAAGGGGCCTCGTTGTGCAGAGGAGGAAACCGAGGCAGGAGATAAAGTCACTTGCGGAGGAACTGGAAGAAGCAGGATCTGAAAGGGACGCAGCCCTCGCCCCTGTCTGTTGATGGACGTGCTCAGGGAGCCCAGGAGTGAGTTATCGGGAGGGCAGTCATTAGGAGAACGTGCTGTTTGCTTCCTATGTACAAAGCACTTTCCTGAAAAGGAGCCCTTGGGTGCTGTGAGGCAGCTGGAGCAGGCATTAGTGTCCCTGTCCCCAACCCATAATCTAGAGGAGTCCCTGATTTTCCAGGTGTCACACAGTTAAAATCTTTCCAGCATGTTGCTTGGAGCCCAGGTCCCCCAAAGAATGGACTACTTCAAGGACATTCCCAGTCTTGGGAGGAGCCTGGGGAGGGAGCTTCTGTTCAGGGTCCCAGGCGAAGGGACCTGGCCAGGAGAGGGCGGCCTACCTGCAAGTGTGTATGAATGCTTGCTTGTGAGGACATGGCGGCAGCTACTGTCACACAACCCAGGTCTGGCTCACCTCATGGGAAACCCCATGCCACAGACAGGATGTGGGGAGAGGGAGGCTGCGCTGGTGGCCCAGGGCTGGAGAGGTGGGCACTCTGCTCTCAGAGGGGACAGACATGGGACCAACGAGAGTGGGAGCTAGGTCGGCTAATAAAGGGGAGGAGGGCCATGTCTTTTCTGGAGCTGGGCAGCAGTCCCCCAGGGACTGAGGGCCACCTCCTTTCCCTCCTTTCATGGTCTAGTATTTCTGCTGGCAGCGCCTGGCAGTTGTCCTTGTCCTCGAACGGGGAGAGAGAGCCTGGGCAAATCTGTCCAGGTCAAGGTAACCCTGGATCATGGTTCCAGACAACGCCTCTCCAGTGATCATATGTCCCATGCAGAACTGAGCAGAATCTGACCCCAAGGTTTGGGACACCACAGGGACGAACACAACCTGAAGACAGAGGCGCCAACCAACTTCCTCTTGTTCCCTGTTGGACGTCTGTGGGCCCAAGTAAAGAGTCTATATTTGGGTGACAATGGCCTCAGGTCCCTGAAGAGTAACCCATGGCCTCCACAGCAGAGGTGACAGAGGTGTCCTCTTCAGCAAGCTAATGGGAGACAACGGATTGTCCAGCTGTGTGACTTCTCAGATTAGCAACTTTTAAGTTAGTTAAAAGCAAGTGACGCTGGAGGGGCTGTCGGGGCTTTTCCTGGGAACACTGTCATGTCCTAGCACAGTGCCAGGGGGTTGGGAGCTGAGCTGATCAGGGACCTGCTCTTCAAAAAAAACATGGGGCGGCAGATGTACACGCCAGTGTGAGCATTTGTGTGGCCAGGCTGCTGCAGCCAAGGATGGCCGGGGCAGTGCAGGCCCACGGGTCACAGAGAGGCTCTGCAAAGATGCAAAATCAGCCTCTTTAAAATGCCCAGTTGTCCGCTGTCATCCTGGAGGTGAGAGCACATCTGGTCCCTGTGCTCCTGTGCTCCCTCCAGTCTCTCCGCCTCTGCGCTGTGTGTAGAGCGACCCCTGGTGGCAGCCGCCACACCCGTCTTTTCACGATCTGGGAATGGCAGGCAGCTGCTTGCACCTGGGCAGGAGGCATCCACCACTTGCCACTCACTGGAGCAGCAGGCAAGGGCTCCAAGAGGCCGTGCCAACAGTCGGAGACAGCGAAGCCACTGTTTGCAAACCACATGAAAGGAGATAATGGACAGTAAGCTCACGAGAATTGTTACTGTTTTAAAAATAAATGCAAATAAGCAAAACCTTGAGACTCCATTTTCTTCTATGCATTTGCCAAATGTCAAAGGCACCTGCTGCTGCACAGGGCCTGAGCCACTGCGGGTACAGATGGGCAGAGCCTCTTGGGAAGGCCATCAATCAAGGAGCACTCCACACCTGTGCCTGAGGCTCGCACTTCCGACTCACAAGCCTGTCTGCAGAGGGGGCACAGAGGGCTTGAGGAGCGGCTATAGTGATGTCCTTCCCAGCGTGTTTGTAGGTGGCAAAAAGTGGGGACAGCCTAGATGGAGCTGCTGGGTAATGCCAGGCAGGCTGGACAGCAGAATCTCAGGGAAGCCACTCAGGACCACCCCAGAACTCGGGGAGAAACGATCCTTCTGGGACTTTTGATGAAAAATGCAGAAAACCAAAAATTATATTTTGAATAAATAGAATTTTAAGCTGTCTGTGCATAGGGAATGTCTCCACCTAGTGTCTGGAAGGGTGCCTTCCAACACACGAATGTTTGTGTCCAGAGATCTTTGTGTTCCTTGGTTTCTTCTTTTTGCTTATCTTTCAAAAAAATTCATATTAAGGATAAAATAAGATAAAGTTACAGGCAAGTGTTTCCTCTGTGTTGAAAGTGGGAAGGCTGACAGGCTGAGCAGTGCAGTGCAGGAGAGGAAAGTCCGGGGCAAGCTCTGCTTTCTCTCCCACTGACTTGCTGTTTGATCTTGGACAAGTTGCTCTCCCTCTCTGTGTGTTGACTTCATCATTTATGAAATGAAGGGGGTAAGCTAGACAGTGGATAACTTCAGTATGCACTCTTCTGACCCTCTGGATGGTCCCCCAAGGGAGGGATTTGTGTGCATTTATCCCTGCTGTGTCCCCAGCTCTAAAGCATGGCCTGCCTGGGAGCTGGTGGTCAGTGAGCATTTGTTGGATTGAACTGGAGCCACCTGGTATTGTAGCACAACCCAAGCAGGATTGGCCGTGAGCACAATGTCCACCTTCTAGAGATGGGACCTGTGATCTCTGACCCCCTCCTTCCCCTCAGCCCCTCTCCTCCTCCTTCTCACTGGGAGTTTGTCTCTTCCTTTCTCCACCCCGTCCCTTCTCTCTCTCCTGATTCTCATCCACTTTCTTTCCTGTGTTCTCTCTCTTAATGATGGCTTAAGGTTTGCAGAAGAGCATTCAATTCAAGTGGGAGCCCAGTGGATAGAGACAGTGGGGGACGGGCTGGGGCTGGGGCTCAGCAGTGGAGTTCGAGGCCCTGGGCTCCATCCTCAGCGTAAAGATAAATAAAGGTATTGTGTCCACCTACAACTAAAAATTAAATATTGACACAGGCAGTGAGGGGACAGTTGCAGGTCCACTCGTTGGGACACAGGCTAGTACCCCCGGTCTGGCTCTCGGTACTGGTTTCCACGGTTGGGATTGAGATTCCGGTTGGTTCTGCTGGGAGTCCTTGGGACATGTCACAATGTGGCCAGGGTCAAGGTCCCTGGGTTTTTAGCAGAAATGGGCCTGAGCATCCTGTGACCCAGATGAATAAGCATCACAGGCTGGAGCGGGGGAGAGGCCATGTGGAGGGTCACAGGGGCTTTAGTTTGGGGAGGGAAGGGAGGCCAGAGGAAGCCTCATCGAGGGTCTGGCTGGAAGTTTAGGAGAGGCTGAGCCCCTTCCCACCAAGTCCCTTATTTACTGCTGTCTCATGTGACATGGGTGCGCCCAGGCAGACCTGTTACAAAGCCAGTTTGCAGAGGAGGGGCAGGATTCGGAGTGGCAGGCCTGCCAGGGCCCCTGGGCCCACTCGGCCCCAGCCCTGACCTCTGACCCTCAGCCTCTGCTGGAGCACAGGTGGACTGGCGCGGGGTGGGCGGGAGGCCACGCAGGGGCTTCTTGCAGTGCGGGGGAGGAGACCAGTGGGCTGGAGACCCAGTGTCCTTGTCAGTCCCAGGGCTCAGAAGCTGGGTGGGGCAGGAAGGCAGAACTGAGCCGGGACAGGGCAGGTTTGCCCAGCAGGCGGCAGGCCGGCCATGCCAGCAGAGCCGCAGACCAGGGGAGAGTGAGGCCCTGCCGGGCAGGCCAGGAGGCTGCTCTGAGAAGGGCCAGGGTGCAGAGGGCAGGGGACCCACAGGACATGGGTGACCAGGACAGCTGTGACAGCCCTGGGGACCTCTGGCGCTCTCTGTCAGCACAGGGCGGATTCTGTAGGCTTGCAGGGCAGGGGGTGCCTAGAGGGTCTCCCTGGTGGCTGTGAGAAATGAGGAGGGAAGCTGGAGGACAGCCAGAGGACCTGGCAGGGGCCCTCTAAGGCAGGTGTTCCCATCTGGGGAGAGGTGAGGAGGGGACAGGGCATTTGTTCCCTTCTGTTTCCCCCTGGCTTTGAGCAGACCTGGCGCCTGACAGAACCTACACACTGGGACTTGCCCGCGTGCAAGCGGGTCCCGGCTGCCCGCCTTCCTGTGTGTTCTGCCTGCACCTGCCGCATGCGGGCTGAGGGAGGTCCAGATCAGTGTCCCTGGGTGGTCCTGGGACCTGCTTGGCCTCCTAACTTGACAGTTGAAGAGCAGGATTGTGCAGAACCTCTGGGCCTCCCTTGGTGGGAAATGGCCAGAACCGCGGAGGAAGGAGGGCTGGGACACTTGGGTCCCTTCATGGAGCCCAGAGGCATCTTGCCTGGACAGACAGACTCCTCTGAGGACAGAATGCCATCCCTGTTATCTATGGCAAGAGCCCAGGTGCCAACTGGAGCAGCGGGGCTGGTGGGGCTGGCACCCGGGTCTGCAGAGGGGAGCAGGGCCCCCTCCCGCCAGGGCACCTGCTATCCCTGAATCCTTTGCCTTCCTCCAGGGTGGCCTGGGCTGCGCTCAGGATGACTCGCCATGCCAGCCCAGGGATGGGGCACTGGGTCCCTGCAGCCAAGGCCGGCTCGACGGTGCCCAGGGACGTCAGGCCTCTGCAGGTTTGTGGGTGCTGCGGTGCATGGAGGAGGGGGAGCCTGAACAACCCCCATCACAGGGTCAGCCCCTCAGTGCACAGATACTGGGGTGGGTGGCCTCCCCCTCTACTGACAGGAGCTGAGGCTCAGAGAGGCAGTGCCACTTGCTCAGTGTCACACAGCCGGGGAAAGTCGGACCAGAGTCTGCAGTGCCTGTGAGGCGTCTTTGACTTTGCCACATCTGGGCAGTTAGACTCATGCCCTCAACCCTGGAAGGGTGGCAGCCAGGGGCCCTGTCACGTCAGCAGGGTGGCTGCAGGGCCTTGTCTTCACACAAGCCCTGTGGTGACCGGGAGCTGCTGCCTGTCCCCACAGGTGGCAGGTCTGGTGTGAGGAGTGAGGCTCACACCTGGCTGGGCTGGCAGCTGCTACCTTGGAACCCTGTCCCTAATCTATCCCTCAAGTGAGCCATGCATCTTATGACAGGCCCAGGCGTGACTTCCACGTTCCCTGCCACTAGGCTGTGTTCACGGTTCAATCAGAGCCCCTCAGGGCCAAGCGCAGCTCAGGGGGCATTGCCTGCTCCCTCCATGGTGGGGTGCCATCCCCTTGGCCCAGGACACAGAGCTGCCAAGTGAACCCAGGTCCCAGCTGGCCCGCCTGTGTTTGTCCCTCTGTCCTCGTGACGGCCGTGCAGGGCTGGGCAGGCGGTATCTATGGCCCTCTTGACAGGCGAGGATGCCAGGGTTGGAGGCTCGGGCTCTGCCCAGTGCTGTGTCTGTGGCCCAAGGCGGGGTGTATGGCCTGGAGCCTGGTTGCCTCTGCTCAGCGGCTGCTGGTCATCTGGCCTCTCTGAGCCTCAGCCTCCTCCCTTGACAGAGGGGGTGGGGACCACCAGGCCACCCCAGGAACCATCACATGCTCCATCCCTGGGGAGGATCTCTGTCTTCTCCTGGCAGTGGGTGGTGTGGTGGCTGGGGACAAGCAGGGGAAGCTGCTAGGGGTCTTTCCAACCGGGGTTGTGTTGCTCCCAGGCCAGCCCTTGGAGGGACCCGGCACCTGCATCTGCGCTGGAGCTGGGCCAGGCCCCGAGAGCGAGGGCGAGCTGTCGGAGGGCCGCACAGGGTCTGCCCGTGAACAGGTGAGGCCCGAGGCTTGGCGTGTGCCCCGTAGGGTGGCCACCTGCGGCAGCTGAGGGGGTGAGGGAGCTCCGCGTGTGGAGGAACGTTCTGGAGATGTTGAGAGGGAGACCTGAGGGGATGGACTGCCTTGTCCTGGGACCTGGCTGGGGAATGGGAGGAAGGGGAGCCCCATGTGGACCTGGGCCCGTGGCCACACAGAGAGTTGTACCTCATGGAACCCCGTCCCCTCGGCACCTGGGAAACAGCCCCAGTGCCCAGCCGGAGCTCCAGTCTCCTCTGCCACAGCCCGCCCCACCCAGCCCTTGAGGTCAGGACCCACCTGCCCTGAGGCCGTGGCCAGTCACTGCAGGTCTCAGTCTTGCCGTGACTTTCCGCAGGCCACCTCTGACTCCCTGGCTGGAGTCCCCTCTTTGATCCCCCCCTTCCCTGTGGCCTGGGCATCATCATTACCTTAGAGAAGCCTCAGGCTAAGACATTCGTCCCAGGTCCTGGGTGGAGAGGACTGCTCTCCCTGCGGCGGCCAGCTCGAGGGCCCTGGTGTCCTTCTGGCCATGTGGAGAAGAGCGGGGGAGGTGGCACCGAGACCGTCAGGTGAGGTCTGCTCCTCGCTGATGGCTCTTTCCATCCACAGCCTCCTCTGGTGGAGCCCAGCCTGGATGGACAGACTCTTCTCCTGGTGTGTGGTTCTTCCCCAGCGCAGCATATGGACGAGTCACTCATCGCCCTGGACCTGGCCTGGGTTTCAGAGGGTCTCAGAGCCGCCCAAGCCCAGGAGCCCTTTCTCCAGGTGCAGACATCCACGCTTCCACTCTGGGGGCTGGCTGGGGCCCCTGGGCTCCTGCTGCCACTGCTGTCCCAGGAAGCTCCCCCAGAGGAGCTCCAAGAAGTGCTGGACACCAGGTCCACCCCTGCCCCCAGTGCTGCGGCACATCCCAGCTGGTGTTGTCACCAGACAAGGAGTCCCGACGCCTCCCCCCGCCAGGGGTTTCCATGCACTTCAGATCACCCATGTCCCATGGACCGGTCCAGCTGCAGAAAAGACACTTGGAACAGGGGAGGAGGGACCCCAGCAGGGGGAGCTGGGGGCAGGGAGGCGAGGAGCTCGGGCAGGATGGAGGGAGAGCTTGGTGGCAGATGCCAGCCAGGTCAGGAAAGCTGTGAGGACCTGAGTGTGGGGAGTGGGGTCTGCTCTCCAGGGGGCGTGGGGGACCAGAGTGTGTCTTTGGAGACACAGGCCACTGCCTACTGCCCTTGGCTCTGGCAGGAGTGTGCAGCGCCTCCTTTGCAGGGGGAGGACTCCCCAGAGGAGCCTGAACCCCTGAGCAGGAGGCAGAAGGTGGGAGGCTGTGGCCAGGGCCTCCTGGGAGGACTGTCACCAGAGGAAGAGGCTCACAGGGCTAGCGCTTCATGGCCAGCTGGTGGTCAGCTCCCTGCAGGGAGGAGCAGAGCCCTTGAGAGGCGGGTTCCAGGCAAGCAGGACAGCCGACCGGGGTGTGGAAGTGCTGTGCGTTCCCCAGAGGGAAGCCCTGGGGTTGGGGGACAAGAAGAGGAGGAGGAGAAGGGGCTCCGTCGAGAAGCCTCCAGTCTGGGGAATGGGCCTGTGCCCCAGGAGCTGGACTGCAGGCAGTGCCAGGGCAAGGAGACACTTTCCTCGGTGGCAGGGTGTGGCTTGCTGCAGTCTCCCAGACTGGCTGTTCCGGGTGAAGACACTGGTCCCCCTCGGGCTCTGAGCAAAGGACAGGATAGATATTCTCTCCAATTGGATGCACTTGAGCAGGACGTGGAGGCCTGTTTCCAGCAACTGAACACCCTGAAACTTGGCAGCTGGGGTCACCAGCGGGAGATGGCCCTTGTGGTGGGAGAGAACTGGAGCTTTGCTCAAAGGAGGCAGAGCAGAGGTGAGGAGAGTGGAGAGGCCACCAGCCTCGAACAGACTGTGGCCCAGGACACCAGCAGAGCTGTTGCAGGGACGTCCCCTGATCAGGAGGAAGCCAGCCTGGACCCTGCAGAGGTCCACAGGAACGCGCTCTCCACACCCTGGCACACCCTCGAGAGGGCCAGGGCCACGTTCCATCAGCTTCTTTCCTCACTGAAGAACGAGAGGAGCCGGGTCTTATGTGACAGGGCTGCACTTCGGGAAGACCAAGAGGGATGCTGTCCTAAAGCTTGCCACCTCGAGGCAGAGGGCCCACGACGCGCAGCCCGGGTGTGCGGCCTCCAGCAGGCCAACCAGGTGCTGGAGGGAGACCTGGCCCAGCTCAGGAGGGAGCTGGGCCAGTACGCACAGGCCATTTCCGACCTGGAAGAGTGCAATGCGCAGAGTTACGGCAAGATCTCGGAGCTCGAGGAGGAAAACGACAAACTGAAAAGGGATCTAGGCCAACTCCGGAGGGCCATGTCCCAGAGCGCTAGGGAATCCCGTGGCCCCAGGGAGCACGTCGCCCTGGAAAACAGGGAGCTCAAGGCACTGATTTCGGAGCTTGGGGTCAGCTATAAAGAGCTGGTAAGGGGTGTGGGGCTGGGGGTGGAAGGCATGGTCCGGGCCTCCCAGGGGGAGAACGAGCGCCTTCTTCGCAGGGTCCGAGCCCTGGAGCAGGAAGTGGCCTTGCACACCAGTGGGGACAGGGCACGCTCGTTGGGAGGCCGTCATCAACCCCAGGAAAGCACCAAGGTGGCGGTGGACAAGGTGTGCACCATGGACACAGGGGTGCAGGTCACAAGCCCCTGCGGGCCACCCTTGGAGGAGGCAGTGGGCGTCCCTGGAGGGCAGACGGGCCCTGCCTTGGACCTGCAGGATCCCGGATGTGGCGCTGGTTCTACCGCTCCGTCACTGGTCTGGAGAAATGCTGACGTCCCCCGTGTCCTGCGAGGAAGGGGCGGGGCAGGAGGAGGAGCAGCGCGTTTGGAGGGAGAGGAGAAAAGGCCATGGTGTCCCCACCAAGGGCACGCCCTGAGGACCTCGCGCAGCGGCCCCCAGGTAAGTGGACCTGCTGGCCTCCCTGGTGCTGGCTGGCTCCAGGGCCCCCTGCAGACCCGGGTATTCCTCCAGCATCCTGGGGGGAGGTGCCATCACCAGCCTCATCCAACAGGTGACTAAACACAGGCACAGAGAAGTGAAGGGTCTTGCCCAAGGTCACCCAGCGGGTGAGGGTGGAGCTGGGACTCTCCCAGGAGGCTGGCTCCAGATCTCCGTGTGTCCTACGGTAAGACTTCAGCCTGCCCTCCATGGGCCCCGAGGAGCTCCCCTGCAGGACGCCCAGGAAGGACCCCCATGCCCACGTGTGCTGGTCCTGCCTGTGGGACCGTCAGTGCTGAGCCCGTGTCCACTCGGCCTTCTCATCCAGTCTCTCCTCTCCACCTTCGGGCGCCCTTCCTTCCGCTCCCATCTCTTCTCCTCCTGCCCCTCCCTTCTCCCCCCACCTACCATTTATCCCATTTCAGAAAACCAACTTCTGGTTTTACTGATTTTCTTTATGGTTTGCTTGTGTTTTACTTCGCTGGCTTCTTCTTACATCTTCCTTTTCTTTAATTTGCTCTTCTTTTTCTTGCTTCTTGTGTAGAAAGCTCAGATCATTGATTTATCAACTCTTTTTTATTTTTTGTAATCGATGCATTTAAAGACCTAATTTTTTCTAAGCATCCCAATGATTTTTTTTTTTTTTAGTATTTATTTTTCAGGTAGAGTTGGACACAGTGCCTTTATTTTATTTATTTATTTTTATGTGGTGCTGAGGATGGAATCCAGGGCCTCGCATGTGCTAGGCGAGCGCTCTACCGCTGAGCCACAACCCCAGCCCCCTCCCACTGATTTTGACTCAGTGTCTGTTCAGTTCAAAGTAATGTAGCTTCTAATATCTATTGTGATCTCTTTGACCCAGGGTTTATTCAGAAACATGTGACTTAATTTCCAGGTTTCTGGGGGAGTTATTGGCTTTTTTTTGTTACTGAGTTCTAGTTTTACTTCATGGTTATCAGAAAGCATGTACTGTATTACTTTACTCTTTTTGAAACTTATTTAACTTGTTTTATGGTCAGGGTATGGTCTATTTTGCTGACTATCCCACATGCCCTCATAAGCAATGAATACCCTGCAACTGGCGAGTACTAGTTAGTGGTACTAACTAGGCTGGGATGACTGCATCTTCTCATCTTCACTAATGTGTGGTCTGTTCTCTTTGTCACTTACCAAGATGCATTTCAAGATCTCCAAGTCCGAGTGTGTGTTTGTGTATTCCTTCCTTCAGTTATGTTGTTTTTCACCGCCATATTGTGATGTTTAAAATCTATTTGCTATTTTTTCTATTTGTCTCATCTACTCTGTTTCCTTTTATTCTTTCTTTCAGGACTTTGCTTTTGGTGTTGGTCTCTTTTTAAGTTATTATTGATTATTCCCTTTCCTCTCAGTAGCTTGTGGTATCATGCATTCTAGTTCATTTTTTTTTAGTGATCACCCAAGAAATTCCAAATGTATCTGTTGATTACCTAAATATTTCTTAAATTTGTATTTTTGCCACATCTCGGATTATGCAGAACCTTTATTTGGGTCCCACTCCCGTGTGTGGCACACCTGTCCCCTCGCAGCTGTTAGTGGTCACGGATCGTGTTGCCCTTCTGTCTTCCCGGCTGTGCTGTTTCTCACTCCTCCTCACCCGGGTCTGGTTTCCTTAAGAGCTTGCTGAGGGCTTCCTGGTGATTGACTCTTCATAATTCTTTTTATGAAAGCAATTTTTTCACCACCCAATTTAAAACGCGGGGTTGTAGGCGGCCCGCATTCTCCCTTCCTTTGTAACCTTAAAGGTCTCGTTCCACTGTCTCCCGCCTCCCGAGTTCCTGTCCAGGGATCTGTTAAAGTGACCATTTTCACCCTGAAAGACTTGTGTTGCTTCCTTTCTGGCTACTTTTCACATTTCCTTTTTGTCTGTGGGTTTGTTTTGTGGGCAGCTTGACTGGACATGTCTGGGTGAGGGGGTATTTGTATTGATCCTGGTTGGTTTTTCTGAGATTTTTGAAGTTGAATATTCATGACTTTTATCAAACTTGAAAAATTCTTGCTTGTTATTTCTTCAAATATTTTATTCTGCTTTATTTTTCTCTTTCCTCCTAGATATCTAGGGTTTTTGTCTGAATCCCACATCTTTTGAAAACGGTTCTTTTTTTCCTCTTTGTCGTTCAGGTTGCATTTCTATTGACTCGTCCTCTAATTTGCCAATCCTGTGTTCTGTTGTGTCAGGTTTTGTTAATCCACCCAATGAGGTCCTAATTTCAGTGATTGTATTTCACAGGCCTAGAGAATCCATTTTATTCTTTTTTTTTTTTTTTTAAGATTCTGGTTGTCTATTGACACACTCCATGTTTTTATTCATTTTGTCTACCTTTTCATATGATAAGTGAGCTCATAGTTATTTTTCAGGTCTTTCTTATGTGCTAACTCCAGTATCTAAACCATCTCTTTGCTTGCTCCTATTGGTGGTTTTACTTCTTGGTGAACATTTACCTGCTTCTTTACCTGTCTAGTAATTGAAAGAACTTTTTTGCTTGACTTTGAGGGGTTGTGGAGATTGCTGATGACCATCATCCTCTAAGAGGGCCAAGGGGTTCTGTTCTGGCTGGCCACTGGATGTTTGACAGGTTGTTGGCTGATCAGCAGGTCGTCTTACCCCAGGGCTTGCTGTGACTCCCAAAGTGTGGCCTTCTCTCTAGGTCAGGGCCTTTCAGTGGCTTCAGCTCAGTGTGCAGAGCCTTCACTGAAGCTGTTCTCCTTGCTTTGGCCAGAGTGCTGCCATCATCTTGGTGGCATGTGATCTTGGAGCTCTCTTGGGTAGCAGGCCTCCCAGCGGCTGTCCCCTGCAAGGGTCTCAGTCTTGAAACCACACAGCCTGTGATTCAGCCAAGGCCCTGAGGGCATTTCTAGGACAGTGTCTGGGTTTTCTGTTTGTCCCACAATCCCCAGCTATCTCAGCATCCCTGAGCTCGGTCCCTTGTCCCCAACCCAGAAATGCTACCACTCTCATCAGGGTGTTCTTTTCCTTAATAAATGTTTGAAAATATTTCAGAGAGAGAGACCCAGGGAACTTGGAGGGAACTTGCCCTATTGTATTCCTTTTTCTGGAGAGCTGTGGTCCTGCTTGGCCACCCTCCAGTGTAGGCGCAGAACTATTTTTTTGTGTTCTCCCCGATCCCATAGTTTTCCGATACCAGCTGTTCTGACCTGGGGCAGACTGGGATCTAAGGAGGCGACTGTGGAGCCACAGCTTCCAAGGTTGGGAAGAAACGGTGGGCAGGGGATGCCAGGCAGTGGCCAGGCTCTGCGGCAGTGGGGAGCCAGGTTTGATGAACAGGAGGGGGCTGGTGCGACTGGGCCACCGTGGACCAACCGAGGCTGGGAGGAGGCGAAGTTGGAGAAACTGTCCCAAGAAGGATCCCAGGAGGCTGCTAGGCTCCCGCTGACCATTCTAAATACAGTGGGATTTTGAGCAGGAGAACAACAGGACCCAAGGCATGAAAAGTGACTGCTGCGAGGAGAGGGGACAGTGGGCGGTGGGAAGCAGTGGACAGAAGGAGTCTGGGCTCTGTAGACAAGAGGCGTAGCAGCTGAGAACCTAGGTCAGTAACTAAGAGTAGAATCCGTGGGACTGGAGTTGGACAGAGGAAGGGGTGAAGAAAGTCCCCCTTTCTGTCACCCTTAGTCTCAATCCTGGCCATGCCACTCTTGGGCCCAAACCCCCCCTGAGGCTACTGTCATACTAGGTACGAAAGCCAGCCACTCACATGAGCAATACCCTGGCCCTAGGCTCTAGAAGCTTCAGCTCTGCCCACCGCACTCCCAGGGCCACCAGCCTGGATTCTCTGCATCCCTCACCTGCCCTCTCTGCACCCCAGCTTCCTCCTAGCAACTGCTGCCTACCCTTAGGGCTTGTTTTGGGGGGCAACCCCCGGCCTGGGCTAGGGGAAGAAGGTGTTGGAGCTGACTCATGCCCATCTCTCTCTCCGTGTTCACTGCGTCGTCTGGGTGGCTTGCAGCCAGTCCCAGTGGAAGCTTTGACACCGTGGGAATGGGGCACTGGCATTGCTACCATGGACCTTGGTGCTCAGCCTCCTGCAGGCTTCTGAAGCCTCCGGTTGGGTTGCCCTTTACCACACTGTGTTAATTGCTTGTGTCTGTATCAGTCTCTCCACCTGCCAGAGTTCCTTGAGGGACAAGTCACCAAGGCAAGCTCAGTGCACAATCAGAGCGTAGCTCACATGTCTGCCCTATAGAGCAAGCTGGGTGACATGCAGCCAGGCCCTGACCCTCATTCTCTTGAGAGGTTGCTGGGCACTCTTTCCTAGGACTTGTGGGGACAAAGCCCTTGTCCAAGTCACTACCAGAGGGGGGAGGCAACAGTGAGACACCAACTTCCCAAAGGCCAAGTTGTTTTGAAGTCTTGGAGCTGAATTGGACGGCAGCATTCGGAGCACCCATCTGTTCTTGACAGGGCCCAGCCTGTGAGTCTCAGGCCCACGCAGCGTGAATTTCTGTTAATTAAAAAACAACATCCCATTCTGCTCCTGTGGACCCAGTTCACACGGAGAGGCCCGTCAGCCGTGGACCCACGGTGGACTGCCTGCTGGCCCTTCTCCCCTCTCCTCTCTTGTTGCCCAACGGAAGAGCTCAGGATCCCCTCCCACCCGTTCCCCCTGGGTCAGGAATGGTGGAAGATGGAGCTTCGTGGGCCTTAAGCCTCCCACACGGCTGCTCTAGGTCCAGGTGGACTGCCACAGGCCAGGGAAGGGCGTTTCTTGCTGCTGGCTGCTGCTAGCCATGCTGCTCCTTCCTGAGCCACCCTGGTGTACCCTGAGCTGACCGATGCCCCACCCTTCGACCTGGAAGCTCCCCTCCTATGATCCTAGGGAAGAATCCAGAGGCCTGTTCAATGTTAGAACAACCCCAGCACCCAGCATGGCCACAGAAGGCTACCCACATCCTGACAATAGCATTTTCAGCAGCATTTGGCCACAGGGGAAAGCACATGGCCTGGAGTCAAGGGAGAAAAGTCAAGGACATGTGTTGCTTACTAGCTTTCATGAAGGAAAAAATCTGTGGGTGCGTGTGAACACATAGAAACTCGAGTCTGTAGGTGGGTGTAAGTTATTCTAATAATCAGGACTTAGAATCCAGGACCATATGGGTGGGTGTCCCTTGTTTAGCCCACTTCCTACAGGGCTGTGTCCTCCCACAGGTCCTTTGCAGCCAGGGGAAAGCGTGGCCCTCATGCTCCGTCCAAGAAGGGTGAGCTCATGGAAGTCAGCATTTTCTGTTTTATATAAAGACACGAAGCTTTAATAGATTCAGTGTCTGATGATTTGACTTGGACGTGAAATTCCATTCATGGGACTGTCTTTGAGGATAGCGGCCAGGGACCACTATTAAAGCAGACTCAACAAACTGCACGTGGCATGTTTTTGAGAATAATGTCCTCGGTTGTTGTTCTGGGGTTCCCTGGACCCTCCCGACACTCCTCGGGACCCCAGTGTGAGCCTTGCACTCACCCGTGGACAGGAGGGACAGTGGAAAGGCATGGAGGAGCAGGGCCGGTACCCACCATTCTGCTGGCTGGTGGGATTTGGGGTTTTTAAAATATTTGTCCCCTTATTTTCTAAGTTCTATTTATTCTTTCTGTGAGGAAAATATAGGTAGACCACATAAAGTGGGGGGAATGTACCCGAGAACCTAAGTTCATTCAGATCTGTGCCTTCCGTAGCTCCAGGACACAGAGGCCGAGGCATCTGAAGAGGACCCCAGGCTGTGTGCCCAGCGGCTCCGTCACCAGGTGCAGACCCTGAAGTGCCAGCTCAGAGACCAGGGGTGGGCACACCGGGAGCGGCAGGAGGAGCTCAAGGGCAAGGTAGGCGGGGCCAACACCTCCTCCATGGGGAGCACTCTGCTCCCAGGGGCTTGGTAATGTCTATTAGATATTTAAATATAGGTTGGTGTAAGGAGGGAAAAGAAGGGGACTGTCATTCCTCCAACCAGTAGCCTCTGATAAATAAAATTTTTAAATGCACACATATATGGTTTTTACACAGCCTTAAAGTTTACATAAAGAAAGGTCAAGCCCTTGCTCTACGGGAACGGGGTGGGTGTGTTCTGAAAGGCCTGGAGAGGATTCCTGCGCTGTCGCAGCTGCCAGGATCAGGGTGGGGTGGCCACATGCAGCCTCCATGGGGTGAAATTGCATTGACCAAGCACATGCTCATGTGAAACCACAGGAACCCAGGTAAGATCAGGGGTGGCATTGACGCAGTCACTCATTGGACCTTACACTGCAGTCTTACAAAATGTTACTGAGGAGGAAACTGGACAGAACACACAAGGGATCTCTCCATCATGTCCTACAATTGTATGCGATTCTGTGATTATCTCAAATTTTAATTAATATGAATTGATAGATAATAATTGTGCACAGTCTTTCACGTAGAAAATCCTAAGGAGTCCATAAAACACTAGAACTGAAGAACAATTGGATGTGTGATTTGAAAGGCAGTTTCTCCTCATCTACGGCTCATCTTCTTACTTTTTAATTGCAAACATCCACACACTCATTCCAAAGCAACACACTCATGCCATTTCCTAAACCAAGGTGGGGAGAAGGTCTCATGGAATCCTGCAAATTAAGTGCCTTTTGAATATGAGACAGTCTGCTTGAAGCTGAAATTTTGCATATATTCCAAAAGGTATCCCCAAACAGGCTTATAGAAATATCCATGAAGTCTTGTTTATTAAGCAAAGAAATGGAAGCAGAAAAATTCCCATAATCAAAGAAGTGGTTTGTTTCTGCCTCATGGTGGAAGAATACTCATGTTTGAAAGGGATGAGGTCGGTTTGCTCGTGTTCCTGTGGAACTCGCACCAGGGTTTTCCATCAAACGACAAACACAATGCCGTGTCTTTTGCATAGTGTAATTCTGTAGGCACACACACACACACACACACACACATATACACACATGTTCTGATGCACGTGGGCATGGGAGGCTGAAGGACTGTTAGAGGCCAGAAGAGGTTGGGGACCTCTTTTGGGGTTTTCACTATTGGAAAGCGCTCAGGCGTAGCCACTGCCTCACATCTTATGGGGCAGGATTTCAGATGGGACTCAGCTGGGCACAAGTGGGGGTTACTCGGTGGTCACTCACTGGACACTGGACTAGGCTGGAAAGTCCAAGGTGGCTCCATGCACATGTGCCTGGCACCTCTGCAGGGTGGCTCAGGGGCAGCACACCCAGACCTCTGCCCTCTGTTTTGGGCCTGTCCTTGTGTCTTACCCTGAAAAGGGTTGAAAGTGGACACACCTGTCCTCTCAAAGGCCAGGCCAGGTGTCACTTCTGCTATTCTGGGAGCTGAGCACCATGGGCCAGACCAAATTTGAGAGAGGGTCCTGACTCCCCTCTCCAGGAGCCGCTTTAGAGCAACTGTGTCCAAGGTTAGCCCCCATGCGTGATGAGGAGAGCTGCCATCCACCGAGTGCCCACGGAGGCCAGGATGACTCTCAGTCTTTCTGTCATTCAATCCACAGTTTCCTTGCTGCAGGCCTCACCCTGAGTGGACAGTGACATCCCCCCAGTTGGTGAAAAAACCGAGGCAGAGGGACTGGCAGGGGTGTCAGTGAGTGGCTGAGTGGTGCCACCAGGCTGGAAGTCTCTGGGCTCTGTGAGGGCCTCGGGACCAGGCGTCCTTCCCCATGGAAGCAGCCTCAGAGCTGGCCACTGAGACCGCGGCCTGGCAGAGTGCCTTCTGCAGGGCCACAGCCTCCGTCCCACTCAGTGGGGATGGAAGAGGCCCCATTCCTGGACGAGTCCTCTGCAAGGAAAGGGGGCGAGGAGGCAGGGGTCAAGCCAAGTCCACTGCCCTGGGAGGCCGGGGATGGCCAGGAGCGGGGCACCATGTGACCAAGACCGCTTCCTTCGCAGCTGGAAGAGCTCCAGAGAAAACAGCATGAGGCCGACGTGGCTGTGGCCCCACTGAAGGTGAGGGGACCGTGACGTCAGCGCCACCTGCCTCCTTCAAACCGCCTTTGTGTTTCCCATCCCCAGAACACCGATGCTAGACTGAAGGGGGAAGGAGAGAAAATGCCCCATGTCACTGTTTGGAGATAGTGTTCCACATATTTCCTCCCACGCCTGAGATCAGCCACCTTTATCAGCCAAGTGACCCACATGCTTGGGTCCTGCCTGGTGGCATGACCCAGAAGGTGCCAGGCACTGTGACCTACCCTCCAGGCCGTGGCGGTGGAGAGTGCTCCAGGGCCTCAGTTCAAAGTGCCCTGCTGGTGGCTTTGCTGCCTCTCCTGTTGTTGCACAGGAACACTGACCTGCATTTTCCTTGGAGCGTCCCCACCCATCCTGACATGAGCCTCTGGGACAAATTCCTAAGAAGGCTCTGTGGCCTGCGGGCTTCCATGTTCTCTGCTGGGGGCCTGGAAGCTGGCTAGGGTGACACCTCGGATCTGGGCCTGGATCGGGAAGGGTGGGAGGGTCTGTTCTTCCCTCTGGTCTCTGGGCGGGTGGACAGGGAGGAGCCTGGGCGTCAGCAGAACATGGTGACACCAGGACCCCCACAGCCCTTTGCCCTTTGGGCCTCTGTTTCCTCAACTGTTCAATCAGAAATGCAGGCCGCACAGTCCCTGAGTCACGTCCCTCCCAGAGTCCCTGTCCCATCTGAGCTTCACCTGTACATTTGTGAGATAGAAATCTCAGTGATTCCTGCTGAGAATTCGTGGAAAGTAAACTGTCAAGCTCAAAAACACAGGGCTGCCACCCCGCCTCTGGGTTTATCATTTGTCATATGCCACTGATTTAAACGAGGACCCTGGTCCCTTGTGCTTAACAAAGGAGCACCCTGTGGAGGCTGTGTCTGCAGGTCTCCTGGTGCCCTGGACAGCCCCGTGGCACAGAGGGACACATCCAGGTGTGGAAGGGAGCCTGGCCTCAGCAATAGGGCCCAGGTCCATGCTCTCCATCCTGGACCCATCGGAGGGCAGCAGGGAGCCCTGGGGCTGGGCTGCTGGGTGGAGGAGGCATGCAGGGGGCTGCTGCCCTGGGCTGAGGCAGAGCTGGGTGTGGGAAGCAGGGAGCCGCCCGCCCAGGTCCCCCAGCCCCACTGTGCAGCCCTGCGGGAGCTCTGCGCCCACGTTCCTCTCCTGTCAGGCCAAGCTGGCTTCCCTGGTCCACAAGTGCCTACGGAGGAACCACCTCATCACCCGGCTACTGCAGGAGCTGGGCAGACATGGGCCTGTCGACCTCCTGCTCTCTGAGATGGCCCAGAACATGGTCCACGACGTGGCACTGTCGGAGTATGCTGCTGCCTTCCTGACCACTGGACTCCCAGAGGTACATTCCCACAGACAGCCCCGTCCAGCCTTGCCCAGCCCCAGCCAGCCCCGTCCAGCATTGCCAGTCCATCCAGCCCTGCCCAGCCCCGTCCAGCCCTGCCCAACCCCGTCCAGCCCTGCTCAGCCCTGTCCAGCCCTGCCCAGCCCCACCCAGTTCTGCTAGTTCATCCAGCCCTGCCCAGTCCCATCCAGCCCTGCTCAGCCCTGTCCAGCTCTGCCCAGCCCCATCCAGTCCTGCCAGTCCATCCAGCCCTGCCAGTTCAATCAGCCCTGCCAGCCCCATCCAGCCCTGCCCAGTCCCATCCAGCCCTGCCCAGCCCTGCCCAGTCCCGTCCAGCCCTGCCCAGCCCTGTCCAGCCCTGCCAGTCCATCCAGCCCTGCCTAGTCTTGTCCAGCCCTGCCAGCTCTGCTAGTCCTGCCAGCCCTGCCCAGTTCATCCAGCCCTGCCAGCCCTGTCCTCTGCCTCCATCCAACTCCACCTGGCTGTTCCCCTGGGCCAGTGCCTGGGCTCTGGGATGGTAAGCAGGTACACCTGGCAGTCCTTTACGCTGAAAGTGCCCATGGCACAGTGTACAGGATAGACCCAAAGAGGGATCATAACTCAGTCCCACATCATGATGTCATGCCACCCATGTGACTGCTATACACCATGACTCTGGGCCTTGGCCCTGCCACCTCCTACAGGAGACATGGTCCATCAGCAGCCTCCATCTATCCTTCAAGGACATCCCGTGAGTGCTTGCCCAGGCAGTGGCCTTGAATCTTCAGGACCACAATTAGCCACACCCCCTCTCTGTCCTCCTTGCATGTGACTTGTGTGACGTGGCACATGTAGGGGATTGGCCCCATGTTGCCTGAGGAGTTCCTTGGCACCTCTCTTTTCTCGCTAGGACAGAGACACTCTGTAGCGTTCTGACTCTCTAGTGCCTGGCACTGAGAAGCTGCTTGGAATTTTTGTTGAGTGATGAGCTAGTGAGACAGATGCTGAGGGTCTCCTGTCCTGAGGGTCAACAGAAGAGGAGGCTGAGGCCGCCAGTTCAGGAGTCTCACCACAGCTCACGGGATGAGGGGCACCAGTTCTCACTGGTCCAGGTCCAGAGGAGGCCCTTTCTGGGCTCTGCCTGCCGTTGAACAGCAGCATCTTGGGTGCCCATGGGTGCTCAGCCAGGTCTTCCCACGCACACACATGCGGCCCGTTCCTGGGGACAAGCCAGCTACGCCCCCACCCGTCTAGTTCTGCTCCTGATGGTGTGAGGACAAAGTGCAGCTCTTGCAGTCCACAGTGGGAGGTGCCCCCTGGCTGCTCTTGCTCCAGCCCTGGCTGCGGGGCTTCCTGGCTGCACCACCCATGCAGAGGCTCCTCCTGGTGCCCCTGGCTCTGCCCCAGCATGACTGTCTTCTCCATCCCTTCCTTACCCCACCCCGACTCCGAGAGTCCTAGATGCCCCCCAGTCCAAACCACTGTGCGGCCCAGGAGATGGAGACCTGGGGCCCACCAGGCCTGCCTAGGGCCTCGGTGACGTGGTGCAGAGCCAGAGTTTGAATGCAGAGCCCCGGACTCCAGGTCTAGTGCTCTTCTCTGCCCCAAAGTTCATGCTCTTCGAAGCTGGCATAGGGATGAGGAAAGAGGGTAGAATTATGAAGTGCCTGACATAGTCCCTGGCACTCAGTAGGGCCTAATAACTGTGTCGAGTGAGGCAGAACTGAAGCAAAGTTCCAGGAAGTGTGGAATGCAGCAGGTGTGACCCTGGGGGGCCGCTGACTGTCTGCAGAGCAGGCGTGTGGCAGCAAGGGCCCCACTTCCCCTTAGTCTGCAGGCCCAGCAACAACATCCAAAATGATCACTGGGAGCGACCAGGCTGACTGACGAGGACTGAGCCCAGACACTGAGGCATAAGTCAGAGCATTAACTAATTAGTTAATTATCTAGGAAAATGAACTTTAGCAGAAGTTCAAGTATTTTTTGAATCATTGTATTTATTTGTGACATGTGCTGGGATTTTGCAGGCTGAAGTATCTTGCAGGGGAGGTGCAGGCGATGGATAAATATGTCAGCACATTCTTTTCCTCTAGTTATCCAGAAAGTCAAATTCATAACCAGTGTGTTCATTTGTTAGTTGGTAACTGTTTACAGGCAGAAGGTCACTTGGGAGCCTGGAATGAGAACAGGGAGCGTTGCTGCTGTCACTGGCCTGACGTCTCCATTTCCTGTGAGGATGTTGTCCTGGGCTGGATGGGCCTCCCCCCAGCCAGGATCCAGTCCTTTGAGAGTACACTGTCAATTTCCACAATGTCAGCTGCGCTGGCCTCTGCATTCCTGTCCAGTCTTGACTGAGCCCAGCCTCACTCCCTCTGTTGAGGTGGCTTTTGTCCTTCCTGATCCATCTGGCACTATTCAGAGGACACCCCCAAGTGCATGGTCTGCAGACCCCAAACCTGGCTCTGCGGTTTCATGCCACGCACTTACTGAGCCTGAGCTAGGCCTGGTGCAGGTCCTGGGGAGAAGTGGAGACCAGACAGGCCAACACCTGCACACGGACCAGGGAGGGGTGACGGTGCCTCATGGTGAGCATTGGGAAAGAAACATGCCCGGGTTCAGACGGGTGTCAGCTCACACAGGATGTTCTCTGAGCCTTCACTTTCTCATCTGTAAAATGGGGATAGTTCAGCTGCTCGAAAGAGAGGTGCTGAAGCCTTGCATGGGTCAGAGCCTGGTCCTTGTATGGACAGATGCCAGGGCCTGGGGTTCCCGAATCTCTTAGCTCTGCCACTGTCTAGCTCTGTGACCCTGGCAGAGGACACTTACAGATCATGCTGGCCACACCAGGACAACACTGTTATTCCTCTCAAAAGGCTCAAGGGGGTGCCAGCCTTGCTCAAAGACACACACCTCTAAGTTGCCATCTAACTCAGCCTCCGTATATGCAGAGAAGGAGCTGGGCTTGAACATGGCCGTGGGAATCTGCAGGACTCTGCAAGGACTGCCCCAGGGCAGGCTGGGTGATGGTTGCTGGGCAGGGCTTGGGGAACTGGGCAGCAGGTCTGGGTCTGGCACCTACCAAGCCCTCGGGGGGGGGGCAGTCCCTCTTGGGGCTGGAAGGCCAGGCTTCAGTGTGCAGAATCTGTCCAGGTATAGGCAGGAAGGAGGAGGAGGAGGAGAAGGAGGAGAAGGAGGAGGAAGAAGAGGAAGAGGAGGAGAAGGAGAAGAAGATCCCCAGAGGAGGCCTATGGTGGAGGCCGGACACAAGGAGATTGCCCAGGAGGGAGGTCACAGAAGAGGGAGAACATGGCCCTGACCACCCTGCAGGCGCATCTGCACTTAGTTCTTCACTGAGGGGAAGCTGCTGGAGGAGTTGGGTGGGTGGGAGTGGTTTGGGGAAGACCATGCAGGGATGTGGCTGGCCACTGCCCTCAGAGGAGCAGGCCCTGCAGGGTGCAGTGCCAGTGGTCCAGGCCGGGAAGGCCTGAGGCCAGGCAGTCGAGCAGAGCCCCGGGGGAGCCTGAGCCCCTTGCTGCGGCTGGCAGCTGCCCAGGAAGTGGGTGCAGAGCACCTTGTTTTATGGGCAAGAACTGTCCTTAGAGAGGACACAGAGGGAGTTCCTGATGGAGGCCTTGGCTCTGGCTGAGAGCCCAGGAGGGCTGCCTGCAGCTGGGGAGTCACTGGTGGACTCAGGGTGGGATGTGCCAGAGCACAGAGGGGTGTCTCCTGGCTCCCAAGGCTGGGGCTGGAGGGCGTGTGGGCCTCTAGGTAGGTCTTCCATGGGCATCCCTGGAGGCGCCGAGCCCTGGGGTGCCCAGAGTGCTGGGTGGCTCACCTTTTCTGGCCCCTCCCTTGGGAGGGAGGTTCTTCAATGACCTGTCAAGGCCACATGACAGGGTGGTAGGCTATTGGAGCTCTGTCCTTACGAGATGTGTGGCCTGAATCATGGCTGCCTGGCGGGGCCAGCAGGCACCTCCCCTGCTGCACTTTCTCTCTCCCTTTCCTCCTCTCTCCCTGGTTTGGGTGGGGGTGGAATCTGAGCCTCAGTTGGTCCAGCACCCACACCCCTCCTTCCAGCACCTGACCACTGTTGCCCACCTGTGCTGTCATCTGCTGACGGCTGTCCACCCACGTCTCTGGTCAGCAGCATCCCAGGTTGCTGCGTCGCCTGAGTCTCCTTCTCCAGCTCTGCTGGTCCTCTCCAGCTCTGGCTATCTGGGGTCAATTCCATGAGGTCCCCTCTGAGCCCTGACAACACCAGGGTCTTGCCAACTCCTTGGTTTCAGGTGGAGATGGAACAAGGGGACCGTAGGTTTCCTCTGTTCTTGTACCCCTGAAACCACTCTGGGGGTGAATTCCACCCTCCTTCACGTTCACCTTGAGTGGGCAGCTCTTGGGCAGCTCCTGGGCCTGTTTCCTGTCCTCCCCTCCTCTCTGTACCCCGGCCCCAGGGGAATCTGTTTTTTTAGCTTTCACTTAGACTCAAGTTGTGGACATTCACATGCCAAATGTGACACCCTTTTTTGTTTGTACCTGGTTATATTGTCCCCTCCTGGTGACTTGGGAGGCAGAAGCCTGGATGCTACAGGAGGTGGGAGGAGCGCAGGGCTCACCTGGGAGTGGGCCCTGGCTAGCGTGGCAGCTCGTCCCTGCTCCCACCTGGATGACCTTGTTCCAGCTCTGGCTTGGGGCTTGCATGACAGACAGAGGGTCCAGTAGAGGAGCTGACAAGCTGGCCCACCCCCAGCCTCCTGTGCTCCTGGGGTGTGAAGCTTGCTGTCCTCTCTCCAGGCACAGAGCCACCTGCATGTGAACATGCCAAGATCCTGCAGAAGCTGTGACCTTGTGCTCTTCCTTTACTCTGTAAGCCACCTGTCCTCTTAGGCCAGGTAGAGGTCACCGTTCTCACCAGGACTCTGTGAGGTTTGAATGAGACCCATGTCAAATGCTCAGGGCAGCACCTGTCACAGCCACCAGTGACCTTCAAATCAAAAAATTGTCCCTGCCCTGGGGAGGCTGGGACCCTGGCTGGACTCGGCAAAACACAGGGTGACCTGGTCGGGAGCTGCTGGCCCTGTCCCCCTGCCTCCTGGGAACACCTTGTTTCCTAGTGGGCACAGTCAGGGAGACCCACGTGGCCTCAGAACCAGGGCCTCATTGGGAGAGGAGTGTGGAGACTGGGATGATGGAGCAACCCCTCAAAGTCCTGAGCTCCCTGCAGTCATGAAACCGGCGACCGCAGCCCGGTCTCCAAGGGCTCAGGCAACGGTTTTCTCCTTGGCTCCTGCCGTTGAGGATTGTTCCTGGAAAGCTCTGTGGCTCTGCTGGCCCTGCTCTCTGGAGCTCTGGGGGCTCCTCTCTCCCTTCAGCAGGACTTACATGGAGGCCGGGGTCCTGCCCTGCAACCCGGGGTAGGAGGTGGGTTGGGAGAGCTCCCTGACTCAGCCGAGCTCCCGGAACTTGTAACTGCAGAGCTGGGTTGGGCCTGGGATGCTCCAATCGGCAGGAGTCGCGTGCCTGTCTGGCCCATCAGAACGCAGAGCCGCAGCAGCCAGTTTAGTGCATGTGCAGCTTTTCTGGGGATGTGAGGGCAAATGGAACCTCGTTGTCACAGGGGAGGAGTGGCCACTCGGGGAGGGTGCCTGGCTCTGACCCCGAGTCAGCGAGGGCAGTGGTTGGGAGCAGCCGTGATGAGCAGAGCCGGGGCCAGGTGCACTGTGCCCTGGAGGAGGAAGCTCTGGACCAGGCCTGGGAGGAGCAAGGGCGTTCCAGCTGGACAGCTGGGGGGGTCCTGGGGGCTGGGAACCTGCAGCTACAGAGGTAGGGCCTGCAAGTTCATGTGCTTGAAGACAGCCGCGTCCGAGGGGCGGAAGGGAGTCCAGGCTTCCCTGCTGGAGTGGTGCTCTGCCCATGAGCCACTGAAGAAAAACCACAGGCTGACAAGCAGTGGACAGGCCTGACCGCCCAGGCGCAGTGGGCGGAAGGCAGAGGCTGCGGTCCCCGCCCACCCCCACATGATGGCCTGCCTGAGAGCCCAGGGGCCACGGCGGCCCCTCCTGGAGAAGAGTCAAGGTCTCAGGATGGTGTCCACTGAGTTAGGCATCCTCTGTGCTCCAAGCACAGGGCCAGCAGAGGTTTCCCCAGGCACAGCAGTGGGCTTGGGGTGTCAAGCTGAGCAGCGTTCATGCCCTGGGGGTTGGTCAGTCTGTGTGAGTTCTGGCTGCTGCCTGGTCTGGGCTCTGTGAGAGGCGAGTGGCCGAGCTGTGCCAGGAGCTGGCAGGGAGGGCCTCACAGGGAGGGACTGGCCACTCAGGGCCTGACACACTCAGAAGGTCCCCAGGGAGCGTGGGGCTTCCAGGCAGGGGCTGAGCTGGGCCAGCACACAGGGGGCTCTGGACGGGTGTTGAAGTGGAGAGGGGAGGGGACATCAGGGCTCCATCCTGCAGGCCACTGCTCCACCAGAGACGCCCCAGGGGAAGCAGGGTCTGGGCTGCTGGTCTGGAGCCAGCTGCAGTCTGCCCTGAGGATCCCACGGTTGTCTCGTTCCACTGACTGGGGGCTACCGGGGTGACCTGCTGAGTGGCCACTGCTGCCCCTCTTATAGACCCTGTGGGACAGTGTGGCTGTGGGTGCAGGAGGTAGACTCAGGCTAAGCCCCACGGGAATCCCCATGGGACAGAATCAGGGGCCCCAGGAGATGCTGAAGTCCACATTGAAGTTTATTTTTAATGGCACATTCTTAAAAGCATTTGTTACCAGCTCCATTTAGAGATTTGATAAGTAAATGAACTGTTTCCTTGTGAGTGTCTCCTGGGAGCAGGAGGGAGGTGCCTGCCGCCTCGTCCAGCAGAGCTGATGCCACCCCAGACTCTGTGCGGGGCGGGCAACTGCCCTAAGAGCCCTGGCTTTGGGTTTCTGAGCAAGGCTTTCTGTCCTGTGCCAGAATGACCACTCGGGCATCTTCTCTTCCAGACAAGCCACCACCTGGACGTCGGCTCCCAGGGGACAGCAGCTATAAGAGGTCAGTGCAGTTTGCAATGAATCTGTGTATGCAGAAAAAAAATCCTGGCCAGCAGGACCATCGGTGGAGTGGGAAGGGTCTGTCCACTGTCAGGTTCACACTATTGAAGGTGTGAGGCCCACCCCTCCCTCTCCTTGGACACTTGGCCTGCCCTTCCCACAATTAAGAACACAATGGAAGCATTCAGAAGAGCCCTAGCCCTGGAGTTTCACCATAAGTGTCATTTCCCTCCTTGGCCCTGAAATTCACTCCAAGTGCATAGTTGTCTGTGTGAGAATCCATGGGGTGCACCCACAGGGTGAAGGGGGCTGAGGGGAGAATCCATGGGGTGCACCCCCAGGTGAAGGGGCTGAGGGGAGAATCCATGGGGTGCACCCACAGAGTGAAGGGGCTGAGGGGAGAATCCATGGGATGCACCCACAGGGTGAAGGGGGCTGCCCTTAGCAGGCTGACTCAGCATCCTCAGTGACTCACCTCCTTCACTAGAGGCGCTGAAGGGTACCCGGTGGGAGCGTGAGGGCTGCAATATTCTACTAAAGGGAAGCAAGACGGCACCCGGAGCACTCTGACCACAGGTGGAGGGCACACAGACCTGCACGTGATTGGCAGCCACAGCTGCTCAGAGTTAGGGCAGCCTGAGTGGTTTTTCTGTTGTTTTTTATCAAGAGATTAAGATGCTACCTGAACAGACAAAATTTCCCTGAGCCTTTAGTGGTGCTTACTATCAGGTGGGGATGGGGCAGGTCTCACCAGTAGCACGGGAGGCGGTGGAGCTCACAGATTTGTTTAGGCTTGTTGCTAGCAGGTCAGTGTGGATGGTGTTACCCCAAGACTAACTCGCTCTCTTCAAGTCTGTTCATGTGATCTGGGATGAGTTAATTAGCCTCTCTGAGCTGCAGACTCCTATCTTCAAAAGGAGGATACTGTGGTCTTCCCTTTTGGTGCCCTACACATAGCAGAGTATAGACACACGAGAGGAAGGAAAAAGAATGGGGAATGCGTCTTTCCAGCCCAAATCTATGGGAGGGGGCTGCCCTCTGTGTCTGTTCTCTTTCCCAGCAGCCTGGGGGGTACAGTCTTCACCCTGGAGAGGTACAGGTTCTAGCTGGTCCCAGCGCCCCACTTACTCCAGCTTTCCCTGCAGCCTCAGGGAAGTCCCCTCCCTCCTCTGGCTCAGCTTCCTCATCTTTCAAGGAGACGGATGGAGAGGTGTCTGGGCAGGTGTCTGGAGGGTGCCATCCTCCCTGCCGGGAGCTGGCTGGGCGGACGCTGCACTGTGGTCTGTGGCCAGCAGGGGGAGGCAGCCGCCAGGCAGGGACAGTCTTAGGAGGGGCATGACACTCAAGTTCAAGGGCATCTGCCGTGGTGGTGGGGACCTGGAATGGCCAGGGACAGTGGGAGAATGAAGGATGTTATCCTGGGACTCAGAGATTGTGCTTCTGAAGCAGATCCCGGGGCCGAGGCTTGACTGAGACCATCCCTTCTAGTTCAGGAACAGCTGCCGAGTTCTGAAACAGACGGTGTCCTCCAAAGCCCGTTGCGCTCAGACTCCTGGCCTTTTCCCGAGGCTGAGTGGCCAGCACTGACAGCTCGGCTGGATTCGCCAAAGGTGAGAGGACAACAGTCCTTTTGTAATTTTGTTGTTTATTGAAAATATAGTGCAATTATCAAAGTGCAATTATTTTCCAAGTGCTACATTTCTATAATGCCACCGCAGGTCAGGAAATAAAACCGAACCAATACCCCAAGGGTCCCTGGTTTCCCATCCTAGTCGCTTTCTGTTGTCCACTTTTAAATGTTTGGTTTTGGTCAAATTGTGTGCTTTGCACCTTGTTTTTGTTTTTGGGGGTTACCAGGATTTGACCTCAGGGGTAATTGACCACTGAGCCACATCCTGAGTCCTTTTCTGTATTTTTTTTAGAGACAGGGTTTACTGGGTTGTTTAGTGCCTCACTTTTGCTGAGGCTGACTTTGAACTTGCGATCCTCCTGCCTCAGCCTCCCGAGCCCTGGGTGCCACCAGGCTAGGACCACCTTGTTATTTTCTAACGCGAGCTGGGTCATGCATGGAAACGTGGAGCCCTCATTTGAGGTTCTGCCCGACGGTGTCTGCACCCACAGAGGACTCCTCTTTGCTCTAACAGGGTGGGCCTGGCGCTCAGCCCTCACACCAGACTGATTCCAAGACGAGTCCCAGTCCCGGGTCTCTCTGCCCTGTCCCCTTCACTCCAACTCCTGGGGCACGAAAGCCATGGTGCTGTCAGGGTCCTCCCCTGGCCCCGTCCACCCTGGGCTGCTGGGAGCTCCCGTCACCCCACACCCCTCAGCCGTCTGGCTCACCAGGAGGCTCTGCCCTCTGCCCTCGCCCGAGGGGAGAAGGGACCTTGGTGCCTGCTCTCTCCTCTCCTGCTTTCCATTTCAGCACCTCATATTCCCACGGCCTCAGTAGCTCCCAGGTCATTTCAAACCCACGATCGGTTACATTGTGTCTAGATTTCCTAGTTCTACTTATGGCGGGTTTGGTCCAAAATACCCTAGTGGGGCACTTCCAGGGCAGCACCTCGAAGGCTCCCAGGCAAAACCTACTTAACTTGTGAGCTCTGGGGCCTGGAGATCTGAGTTCGAATCTCGGCCCGGCCCTTGCTAGTTCAGCGGGATGTTGATCTGTCTCTGGGTGGAGGAGGCGGCCGAGCCGCTGAACAGAGCTGTGCGCCTCATCTTTTTACTCCAGCCTGCTGGTGTTGACTTTTCCCATCTTTTAATCCTGTGGCGTCTTTCCTGTCCCTATGGTCAATTTTTTATATAAAAAACAAAGACAGCAATCCTTAGCTCTCGGGGTCTTTGGGACAATTGGATGACCTTGTGCATTTCAGTATTTATTACAGGAGAAGCATCCTCAAGGGTAGCTATTGCTACCTCCGTAGAGGTCTTCTTTTTCTGAGGGGTGGACTGCACTTGAGTTCTTGGTTCAGGCTGATCATCAGCTGACAGTAAGAACTTCTTTCCACCTTGGTCTTCCCGTAGAAGATCCCCTCTGACTGGGTTTGCCCTGCGTTATCCACAGCAGGCGCTGCGGGCAAAGACGGGCGGGTGAGCAGGTGGGGGATTGCAGGCCATCCAGGGTGGCTGCAGCAGGGACACCAGGGAACAGAGAGGTGCCAGGAGGTGAAGAGAGCCCCAGCCCCCCCCTTGCCCTGAGGGAGGGGTGCACAGAGGAGGCCAGTCCAAGGTGCCAGGCTGGGCCCAAACTAGGCCCTGGCTGAAGGTCTGCCCTGGAGCCCAGGGTGGGGAAGAACCTGTTCTCAGGGACACAGGACAGAAACCCACAGAGAGGGCTCCAGGACACAGGCCAGCGTGCGGGAGGGCGGGAGGCCAAGGTGCCCCCCAGGGCCCTGGGGTCCACACCTGTCAGCTGTTCTGGGCCTTCTTCAGCACCACCCCCCGGGGTGGAGATCTGGTGATGGAATCTGTCCTGAGCACGGGGACCTGGGTTGGCTGGTAGCTAGATGACAATGTCAGTCTCAGGGTGGCAGGCTGCCTGGCCCTGGGAGGCCTTCGCCTTTCTTTCCCTAGGAGGCCCTGGGCACCGCGCCTGTCCCCAGCATGGCAGGTCAGGCTTTGCTCTAGGTCCTGGTCATTGTCACGGGCAGCTGGGAACAGAGTTCCTGCCCTGGGCAGGAACAGACTGTGGGCCACATGCCAGGCTGTCTTGGGAAGGGCCTCCCGGGTGAGAAGGGATGAGTTAGTGATCACGCCAGGGGATCCTGGCCTACAAGGAAAAGCAGGTCACGGAGTATTGAAGGGTAGCAGCTAAATTTGTCACAGGTCACAGTCATGTGGCTGAGCTTGGGGAAAGAGGAAGAAGAGGTAGGAGGGCTGAGAACACACACCTCCCCACAGGCTGGGAAGCCTGCAGCCGGCGAGGCTGGCTAACCCTCCAAAGTCTACACAGCCTGACCCTGTCACCCTCAGGACCGCGTCCGGCTTCAGCAGTAGACAGCTGTGGGGAGCAACGAAGCTCTGGAGCCACCTGGTCTGGGTTTGAGTCTTGGCTCAGCTTCCTTAGCTGTGTAGCCTTGGACAAATCACTTAGCCTCTCTGGGTCTCTTCTTCTTCATCTGTGTGTGGGGTAATTATACTTCCTTGTGTTGTTTTTATTTTTTATTTTTAGTGTAGGTCAAACAAATCAACATGGAGTGTGTTATCATGGCAAATCCTAAGAGCTCAGTCACTGTCCCAGGTCACGGTCAACCAGGCCAAAGGAAATTATTAGAGTATTCTTTCCCTACAGAATAAGGTAGTGCCAAATGCTTTCAAGTGTTATTATCATCAAGACGAGGTGAAGCGCCAGCTGGGGTTGCCTCCACGGGGCCTCCTGTGGCACTGCTCTGTGGTTCTTGACACCTGGTAGAACCTGCTCCTCCTCCTCCCCAGCTCAGCCCGCCCACTCCCTGTGCAGCCGCCGCCCTCCTGGGTGCCCGTCTTGCCCACGTGTGCGCCTTCCCTCCAGCTCTGCAGCGGGATTGTGCATTGTGTGCCTCGCCCACTGTGGGTGCCCCTGGGGGTGGTGGCCACTGTGCTTGGCACCTGGGGAGGCACAGAGCTCAGGGCTCCTCTGCTGTCAGCTTCCTCCTCAGGCAGACAGCACTGAGCGGGCACAGCCACGGTTGCCCCCTTCTCCTGCGAGCCGAGGAGCTTGCTGCTTGCTCCATCCTGGGGGCCGGGCTGGGAGGCGCAGACCCGCCCCACACCCCAGCGAAGGGGAAGGCGGCAGGCGCACCTGCTGCCCAGCAAGGTCACTTCCTGTCTTTCCTAGGAGGAGCTGCTCGGAGGACGTGGGGTGCGCTTCCTGGTGGACAGCACCTGCGCCTCGCGGCTGGCGGAGGACGTTCAGAGGGCGGGGAGTCAGCCTCCAAGGGCCTGGGGTGGATGACACCCACGTCAGTCCCAGCACTTAGACAGGTGCTGGGGGTCTTTAAACCAGGCCTGGTGACAGCCTGCTGGGGGCGTTTACTGTGGTGGCATGTTCTGGGGCCCTGCAGGACTGCCCCTGAGGCGGGCATCTGGAGAACAGACGGGAAGCTGGTTTTCTCTTGTCTCTGGGACAAGAAGCCTCTTGAGGATTCCACTCAGTAGGGCCAGCAGCAGTTGTACTGGCGGGCACCTGCTGGATGGCGCGTGTGACAGGCTCCCCCACCCCCACCCTGGCTTCCTCAGCCACACCCTGCAGTAGAAGGTGAGGGACACCGGGCCCAGGTGCAGCATGCTCAGTGGGAGCTGGTCATCTTTGTCACCTCTGCCTTGGAGAGAAGGCGTAGTCTGAGGGGCTTTTATGAACACGTTGTGGGGAGACCATTTCTCTCTGCTCTTGCCCCCAGCTGCCTCTGCCCTCGGGGCCCACCCTGGATCCTGGACCTGGGCCAGCAGTGGTCACCGTGGAACCAGGCGGAGAGCCCCATCCTGGCCCCCACACCCACAGCCTTCTGCCAGCCTCGGAGGTCCTGAGCCCGGCGAGGATCCTGGCTCTTCACCAAGAGCTCAGACAAAGCATTTGCGGCAATTCCCAGGTCAATAAATCACCGCTGCAGTTGGGAATTTAACAGAAGCACTCGTTCTCCGGGGCTTTTCATAGACTCCATAAATATTTGAAGCAGGACCTTCCGAGGGTGCTTTAAGAAATTGGTGGCAATCAGAGCTCTCATTTAGTGGCAAGTGGTTTTGCCTTTGGCGTAGGGACTTGTGTTCCCCATCAGGCTTGGGAGGAAAGCCGTGCCGTGCCTGGGAGTGTCGAGGAGTCTGGCAGCAGAGGCCAGCCATCGCCACCCCCCGCGCCAGGCCCTTGCTTCTCAGCCGGGCACCTTCATCCCCACGGCAAAGCGTGACCGCGTCGGAGACATTTGGAGATCATAGCTGGCTGGCTGTGGCCAGGGGGACAAGGGCAGGGGCTGAAGGACATCCTCCAGTGCCCACAGCGGCTCCAGGAGGGCCACCCAGCCGAGCCGCAGCGGTGCGGAGGCCGTGGGGCCAGCGTGGTCTGGCAGCTGCGGCTCCACCAGGGTGAGCACTCTCACTTTCTGCCCCCGGCCCCTCCCCCTGTCCCCCCCCATGTTTTAGAAGGTGTTTCCTCCTCTAGTAATTATACATTTTACATGAAAACACTGAAGACATCAGAAATTTCTAATCAGCCCATTCGCTCCAAATCTGTTGATCTGGGCAGCTCAGTAGGAGTGAAAGACACCAGCGGTGTTGGCTCTGTCCCCACAGAGCCACCAGAGACACACACATGCCCATCAGCCGCTCTGCAGTCCACGGCTGCCCTGCCGGAGCCACAGGCCAAGGGAAGGGCAGTGCTGCTGGGCTGGCAAGGACAAGTCAGTGGCCAGCCAAAGGCCAGGCTGCCTGCCCACTGTCCCCTCCTGGAGGAGGGGACATCTTCATGTCAGGACGAGGAAGGACCAGGATGAGGAATGGGGCTCCCAGGAGATGGGCAGAGCCCCCACGTTCTGTTTTAACGTGGCGGCACACGGAGTCCCGCCCCTTCACGTGTCACCTGACTGACCACAGAGCAATTCTAGAAAGGGGGGTTCATTCCCAGGAAAGTTGGGGCACCACTGACAGGTGCTCCTGGGCTTGCGTCCGTTCCGCATGGGCTGCGGGTGCTGTGAGCGGTCGTGTGTCCACCCTGCACTCCTAATGGCCAGTGGCTCTGCCGCCAGGTATCAGTGAGCACGGGGGTAACTGTGAAGCGAGTGCTGCTCCTGCCCGGGCGCTGGGAAAGAGTGACAAAGGAGATGCCGCTGGTCTCGCCACTCAGGGACCCCGGGACCCCTGCCGCCCCTCATGGGGCCCCAGATCAGGAAGCCTGCTGCGGTCACTTCTAAAGTCTTGAAATATAACTGACCCCTCTGTGTCCACGTGCTCCGTGTCCGTCGTTTCCAACAGCAGGGCCCCTGCGGGCAGGTCAGAGAGTCGCAGTGACCCCTCTTCAGCTCCTTCATCCCCCTTTATCTTGGAGCCTGGAGTGCGAGACGGCGAAGGAGAGGAGCAGCCCGGACGGACCAAGCAGGGCTGAGGAGGCCAGCGGGGTCCCTGCTGGGCCAGCGGGGTGCAGAGTGGCCGTTTCTGTCTCCAGGATGCTCCCCCAGCCTCGGATTTCGGGTGACTGCGCCCTCCTGCCTCTGCCCACATTCTGGGCCTGTCGGAGAGACCACCCAGGGGAGTCCCTCCCGGGAAGGCAAGACCACCTTTGCAGCCTGACCTGGTGACTCTGGAACAAGTCATTTCCCCACAGTGACGGCTCACAGAGCTGCCCTTGGGGCGTCTCCACTGGGCCAGCTTGTGCCGATTCCTGGGCACCTTGTCCTGGTAGGGGACACACTCCTGCCGTCTCCTCACCTGGTCTGTAGGCCCGCCCTTGGGGGCAGGAGAGAGGACAGGCAGGAATGTGGCTTGCAGGAGCTGGTCTTGGGCCACTCTGAGTGACTGACCCCGAGGCTCTGGAAACCGGCCAGATGGGCCAGCCCTGCCACTGCGCACAGAACAATTTATCGACCAGCTGTCAGCAAGCTATGGTGGAGGACTTCCCTGGGAGCTGGTGAGGTTAAGTGCAGCCCTCCCCTGAGACACATGGGGCCTTCCAGCTGGGCGGGAGGGACGCATGGAGTGGTGACAGGGAGGGAGGCTGGGGCTGGGGCAGAGGGACGCCCTCAGCTGCAGACCGGGTGGCTTTGTCCATGGCCTTCAGGGCAGGTCTGAGCGCGTCCGCCCTCCTTGGGTCTGCGCGTCGGTCGGGAAGGCTCCTGCTGAGCTGCCTGGGCTGCTGCCTCTAT